TGGCCCAACAAGTGCACACCAGTCCTCCAAAGAGCATCCCAATCAGATCCAGCCCCTACCTTATCCCTGTAACCCTACATTTCCCATGGTTGATGTATCTATACATCCCTGGACACTATGGGGTAATTTAGCATGGCCAATCCACTTAACCTGCACATCTTTGGACTGCGGGAGGAAAGACCATGCAGACACGGGGAGATGTACAGCTGAGGCTATATAAGGCTCTGGCGTGACTGTTTTTGGAACATTGTGAGCAGTTTTGGGTCTGTAAGAAAGGATGTGCTGGTGTTGGAGGGGGTTCAGAGGATGTTTACAAGGATGATCCTGGGAAGGTGGGCATGTGATATGAGGAGTGGTTGAGGACTCTGGGTCTGTACCTGATGGAGTTTAGAAGGATGAGGGGGTGATCTGAAACTTACAGAATACCGAATGGCCTGGATAGAGTAGACACGGTGGAGGTGTAGGCAAGAGAGCTAGGAGTGAGATGAGGAGAAGCTTCTTTACTCAGAGAGTTGTTAGGATTTGAAATGTGATGCCTGGGAAAGTGGTGGAGGTGGATTCCATAGGAGGTTTCAGAAGAGAGCTGGATATATATTTGAAAGGGATGAAGTTAGAGGGCTATGGACACAGGGCTGGACTAGGGGACTAGCTGGCTAGCTGTTTCAGTAAGATATGATGGGTCGAATGGCCTCCTTCTATACATTCCTATGATAATTGAAACGAGTGAAAAAAAAATAAAGAACTGCGGATGTTGTAAATCAGAAACAGAAACGGAAATTGCTGGAAAAGCTCAGCAGGTCTGGCAGCATCTGTGGAGAGAAATCAGAGTTAATGTTTCAGGTCCAGTGACCCTTCCTCAGAACTGATGGGAGCCAGGAAAATGTCGGCTTGTATTGCAGAAGATGGGGAGTGGGGGTTGGGGGGTGAGGGGTGGTGGGGTTGGTGGGGGCAGTGGTGTGGTGGGGTGGGGGAGTAAGGAATAAATGATAGGATAGAGCCCAAAGAGAGAGAGAGACAGTTGGACAGACAAAGGAGTTGCTAACGATCAGGCTGGGAGGGTGAATAGTTGTTAATGGGGACTGTTAGTGACTAACAACAGGGAGTGTGTAGTGGCAGGCTATGTGGTAACAAGGCCTGGTATGTGGGGTGGGGGGCTGGTTTAGCCCCTAAAATTATTGAACTCAATATTGAGTCTGGAGGGCTGTAGGGTCCCCAAGCGGAAAATGAGGTGTTGTTCCTCCAGCTTGCGCTGGGCTTCACTGGAACACTGCAGCAAGCCAGAGACATAGATGTTGGCCAGGGAGCAAGGTGGTGCATTGAAGTGGCAGGCAATGGGTAGTTCAGGGTCTTTGTTCCCACAAAAAGCAGTAACATAGAACATAGAACAATACAACACAGGAACGGACCCTTCAGCCCACGATGTTACGCTGAACATGATGCCAAATTAAACTAATTCCTTCTCCCTGTCCTTGGGGGTCCATATCCCTCTATTTGTGCATATTCATTGCTTATCAAAAGTCTCTTAAATGCCCCTAAATGTATGTACCTCCACTACCACCCCCAGCAGCGCTTTCCAGACTCCTATCACTTTCTGTGCAAATAACCTGCCCCTAACGTCTCCTTTTTCACCTTAAATGCATGCCCCCTACTTTTAGACATTGAAGACTTGTTCTCCAGAGCTTGCCGCTCCCCGAGCCAAGCTGTTCCAGTACAGTTACAACACTGGTATCTACCCAACAATGTGGAAAATTGCCCAAGTATGTCCTGTACACAAAAAGCAGGACAAATCCAACCTGGCCAATTCCCGCCCCATCAGTCTCCTCTCGATCATCAGTAAAGTGGTAGAAGGTGTCATCAACAGTGCTATCAAGCAGCACTTGCTCAGAAATAACCTGCTCGGTGATGCCCAGTTTGGGTTCTGCCAGGGCCACTCAGCTCCTGACCTCATTACAGCTTTGGTTCAAATATAGACAAAAGAGCTGAATTCCAGAGGTGAGGTGAGGGTGACAGCCCTTCATATCAAGACTGCATTTGACCGAGTGTGGCATCAAGGAGCCCGAGCAAAACTGGAATCAATGGGTATCGGGGGCAAACTTTCTGGTGGTTGGAGTCATACCTGACACATAGGAAGATGGTTGTGGTTGTGGGTGTGGGAGGTCAATCATCCCAGCTCCAGGACACCTCTGCAGGAGTTCCTCAGGGTAGTGTCCTAGGCCCAACCATCTTCAGCTGCTTCATCAATGACCTTCCCTCCATCATAAGGTCAGAAATGGGGATGTTCGCCAATGATTGCACAATGTTCAGCACCATTCGTGACTCCTCAGATACTGAAGCAGTCCATGTTCACATACAACAAGATCTGGACAATATCCAGGCTTGGGCTGACAAGTGGCAAGTGACATTCGCGCCACACAAATGCCAGGCTATGACCATCACCAATAAGAGACAATCTAACCACCGCCCCTTGACATTCAATGGTGTTACCATCACTGAATTCCCCCACTATCAACATCCTGGGGGTTAGCATTGATCAGAAACTCAACTGGACTCACCACATTAACACAGTGGCTCCAAGAGTAGGCCAGAAGCTGGGAATACTGTGACGATTAACTCACCTCCTGACTCCTCAAAGATTGCCCACCATCTCCAAAGCACGAGTCAGGAGTGAGATGGAATACTCCCCACTTGCCTGGATGTGTGCAGCCCCAACACCACTCAAGAAGCTTGACGCTATCTCCCCTCACATACACATGTGCATGCGCACACACACACAGACACGTTCACACACACACACACACACAGACACAGACACACACACATTCACACACAGACACATACACAGACACATTCACACACACTCAGACACACACACAGACAAATACACAGACACACATACATTCACACACATACACACACATTCACTCACTCACTCACTTTCTTTCTCTCTCTCTCTCCCTTACACACACTCTCCTTCCTCTCTCTCTCTCACACACACCCACGTGAACCTATGGGGTGAATTTGTGTTTGCAGATACATTCTAAATTCCTACTTTAGAAATAAAACCAGTCTGACTCCAAACCAAAATATAAACAGATTCTAAACAAGGTCTCACATCTAACATGCATTGTCTGACGTAAAATGTTACTTCCTCTTTACTCTGATAAAACCTTTCGTTCTCTCAGGACAGTGAGGAAGTGACAAAGTTGATAAATGAGGGAAGGGCTGTAGATGTCATATACATGGACTTCAGTAAGGCATTTGATAAGGTTCCCCATGGGAGGCTGATGGAGAAAGTGAAGTCACATGGGGTCCAGGGTATACTAGCTAGATGGATAGAGAACTGGCTGGGCAACAGGAGACAGAGA